TCCGGCGATCCTTCCGCCTCAGCCTTCCCAGTAGCTGGAACTACAGGTGTGCACTACCACACCCAGCTAATTTTTTTTTTATTTCTTGTAGAGATGAGGTCTCGCCAAGTTGCCCAGGCAGGTCTTGAAACGCTGGCTCAGGCAGTCCACTCACCTCAAGCCTCCCAAAGCACGGGATTACAGGCTGAGCCACCGAGCCCGGCTGATATATTTTCAAATAGTGATCAGTATTACGAATAAAACAGACTGTGATCAAGGGGACTTGGAGTAGTGCTGTGGTGATGAGGTGACATATCAGCCAAGATCCAAAAAACAAGATGCAGCCAGCCACGCGAAAACTGGCATGCCCAATAGTTGAGGCACCTAGATCAGCAAGTGCAAAGGACCTGGGATGGGAGTAGGCTTGGCATAGTCAAAGAGTAGGAAGGTACCGGTAGGGCTGTGACTTGTGGGGAAGGAGTGGTTTGGTTCGGGATGCAGGAGGAAAGATTGGCAAGGGTGGGTCCTCTGTGGCTGTTGAAGGGGTGGGGTTTCATCATGATAAGTAGTGGACAGGTGGAGGAGGCCTTGAAGTAGGAGAGAGGGGCTTCACTAGATTTACTTTTATTTTATTTTTATTTTTTGGGTTGGAGTCTCACTCTGTTGCCAAGGCTGGAGCACAGTGGCACATTGCTCATGGCCACTGCAGCCTCGATCCGCTGGGCTTAGGCGAGCCTTTCGGCTCACCCTTCCAAGTAGCTGGAACAACAGGCGCATGCCACCACACCTGGCTACAGATTTGCTTTTAAATGATTATTTCAGCTTTTCTGTGCAGAATCATTTGTAGGGTGTTGAGAGTAGAAAGGCGTCCAGATGAGAGATTGTGGCTTGCACTAGGGTGGTGACAATGGCATGGACATGTATGGACAGATTCGAGCCATGTTTGGGGGTTGCTGAGGGTATGCATAGGAATGAGGGGAAGGGCAGCCTGGGTTAGGGGTGAATCTTGCATTTTGTTTTAGACAGGTTAAGTTTGTAATGTCAGGTATCACATGGTGGTGTAAATATGTGGCTGGACCTCTGGAGTGGAAGCTGTCTCCCTGCTCACTTAAGGAGAAATGCTGGGACTGGCAGGACCTGAAACTGGCCAGACCTACTGCATTGAGAACATACTTGTTTCTTCTTGCACTTTTTGAGGGAGATGGAAGATGCAGACTCTAGGTTCTTGAGGCTGCTTCCAAAACCCACAGACCCTGCGGTCCATGGTTCATTCTCCAGTTACATTTCCAGTTCACCAGCTGAGATGGGTAGGAATTGGAATCAGTTTGGAATCAGTCCATCCTACCCTGGGGACTCAGCATGTGCTTGTTGCGAAAAAAGCCAGGTGTGGGGTTCCATGGAGTACTGCTTTTGGACTTGCTGTGGGGGAGTGGTGCTCTATGTCAGGGCTTGTGAGTTGGCCTAGGGCTCGTGTGTCATCTGCCATCTACTTCCAGGTTGACATTGGACAAGTTAGCGACCATTCTATGGCCTATCACCCTATTGGGGTAGTAGTCTTGGGTGCTGAGACTTGGCATAGATTAGGCTCTTATTGCACACACTTGTTTTCCTTGCCCATCTGAGGCTGGTGAAGATAGTCCTGAGAGCTGTACCCACTGTGAGATGGGCCAAGCACCATGTGGACTGGGGGTGGAGCAGGAGTTTGTCCCCATCCAGATGGGATGTTGGGAGATGCTTGGAGTGGCTTTCAGGGGCTCTGTAGTACCTAACTTCTCCAACAGCCAGTTTCTTGCCTCATTCTAGCAAAAGCGCAAAGGTGTAGAAGGGCTCATCGACATCGAGAACCCCAACCGGGTGGCACAGACAACCAAAAAGGTCACACAACTGGATCTGGACGGGCCAAAGGAGCTTTCAAGGAGAGAACGGTAACATCGCTGGCCAGGCCTTGTGACCTAAGCACGCAGGCCAGGTGTTGGCCTTCAGGTTGCTAAGGTACCCAGCTCCTCAGCCCTGACTTCCTGGGCTCTTATGTCCGAGGGGCTGGGTGTAGGGTCCAGCTCTATTTATTTCTGTCTCATCTCATTCCCCAAAGGCTTTACAGTATCTTTAAAAAAAAAAAAACCCCACAGAATTTGTTTTCGCCAATGAATACATGATATCAGGGAAAGTAGAACAGCAGATGCAGACCTGAGCTTTATGCTTGAAGTAATGGCCTATGGATGTGGAGGGTTGTCCTCCATTGTTGTCTTCCAGAGCACTACACCCTGAGGAGACTTCCCTTCTCCAGTCTGATCTGGCCATTCCTGGCCTGCATCCATCTGTAGTGCTGTGGCCATAGGGATTAAGGAGAAAGAAAACTTGGGGCTATTGCCAGCCAAGAGGCAGTTCATCCCAGCACAGGGGGCTTCTGTCTGGCTCAGCTGACTGCCCCAGGCCTCTCTGAGTCCTGTGGGGAAATGGAGCTGCAAATGTCTTCTTTGAGAGTTGTGTGAGGCTTGAGATCAAGCACTGAAGTAGTTTGCTTGACTAGTGCTCTGACTTTTGGTGGCTGTCAGGCGACCTCAGGAGACTTATGAGAGGTTGAAGGCTGCTGGGGAAAGCAGCCCTGGTTTCTCTCCTGGCCAGGCTGCTAGGATGATGGCTGAGGAGTGTGTCTATAAAAGCCTCACAAGGAAGGCCCGTGAGCTTGGGGCGTGATTGGAGGCTGCTAAGGACTCCTCTCCCCTTTCAATGGCTTCCTTCTTGGTAGTGACTTCCCAGAACCTGTTGTTCTGGGCTGCTAGAAGGGCTCTTGTGCCCACCCAGCTTCTGCCCTTGTCAGCTGTGCTGTCCTGGACAACTCACTGCCTTTTATGGACCTCAGAGTCCTCACCAGTAAAAGGGTGATCTTATTGCTACCACTACCCTTTGGGATTGCAGAGATGATAACCACAAAGACCAGTACCCTTCTGCACTTCACCTTCACTGAGGGTCCTGCAGAGCCTTTGAGCAGCCTTGCCCCTCATTCCTGAGAGCATAGCTTTAGTGCTAAATCTGGCATGTCCCTCTTGGGGTGGGATTTGCTGGATTGACGGGCAATACCTCCTCATCTCTGTAACAAGTGTCTCCTGGGCAAGTTGTCCGCTCATCACACTCCCAGTGGCTGAGTTTCTCTCCCTCCCCTCTAGCCAACCCCATGCCTTGCTTCTCATTACTCTTCAGCTCTGTTTTCTGTGTAAGCCTCTGGGAGGCCATGTCCTTTCCCCAGCCTCCTGTCAGGCATGGCTTACTCTTCCTCCAGCACTGCCCTTTCAGAAAACCATTGCAAATGGGAGCCCTCCAATCTCACACCCTGAAGGGCATCCACTCCAGTTCAGAACCTCAGGCTTGAGAAGATCCACAAAGGAAACTACTGACCCTATCCACTCTACCTACTGGGTTGATGACCATTGTCCCATGAGAGTCCAGCTTTTATTCGCACGGCCCTAAGGATGGGGCTTACCCACTTGGTCTACTTCTTTCTTTAGTCCTTTTAGAATGTGGTTTCCAGTGTCTTCCTCCTCCTGGTCATCTTGGAACACACAGAGCACTTGGCTTTGGTCCATCTGTCTCACTGTGGCCACTAGACCCTAGTCATGAAGCCCTCAAGCCTCTTCCCCTCCCCCTACAGCCAGACACTGTCCTCTCTGCCAAGGTTCTTAGAGTCGCAGGTGTTTCCCATCTGGGCCTGTTCTTCTGCTTGCTTGTTTGGTGAGTGTCCATTAAGCAGGGGACGTACAGAGCCAGGGCCCCTTCCAGGCCCTCTTCCACCTTGGCCCTAGGCCGAGTATTTGGCCTTTATTCTGGTTCCCGTGTCCAGCTCAGCAAACAGCGTGAACGATGTCCCCATGACACCATTTTATCCAAACAGAGAAGAAATTGAGAAGCAGAAGGCAAAAGAGCGTTACATGAAAATGCATTTAGCTGGGAAGACAGAGCAGGCCAAGGCTGACCTTGCCCGACTGGCGATCATCCGGAAACAGCGGGAGGAGGCTGCCAGAAAGAAAGAAGAAGAGAGGAAAGGTAAGTCCTGGACTGCTCATGTGAGGGACAGCTACCTAACTCTGGTTCTAGGCAAGCCACCAAACCCTGAACTGTCTATGAGGTGAGGGTAGGTGAGGAATGACAGCTTCCTGACAGGTCATTCAATAAAGGCCCTCACCCATGTGTGCCCACCCCTTCCCAGGGGGCTAGAAAGGTCCAGTGGTGTCATGGAGTCAGATGTGGGTTGGAATCTCAGCAGAGCATCAGCCACAGTAGAAGAGTGGTCAGTTCCCTAAACAGCAAGACAAAGCCATGTTCTGGTCTGAGGCTCAACGGTCCCACTAGCCTCCCTCTGGTGCCTTGTGAAGCTAGCAGAGCTGTCTGAAGCTACCACTGTGCATCTGCATGGCTTAGGAGAGTGAGTTGAATACACAGCAGTACAGACCCAGGTGAAACCTGGCCCGAGCATCCCTCTTCCCGTGCCCTCCCTCCAGGCAGGCCAAAAGAGGTAGGGGGGTTCCTCTAGACTAGGGTGTCTCTTGGGAGTTGATCCAGTTAATATAACATTTGACTCCTGACCTTCTGTCTCCCTGTGGTCCGTGAGAGCCCCTAGAGATCCTGCTGTCCTGCCTCACCAGATTGTGAGGAAACTGGGGCATTGTCACCCACACTGGAAATCCGTTTTCCCAGCTCCCCACTCGGCTCTGCCTCACAGACCTCAAGCAGGAAAGGACCTCATGCTTGAATGTTGTTGCTGATTTTAGACTTCAGATTCAGAACCCACAGGGAAGGTTAGAATTGCAGGGTCCTGCTGAGGAGGGTGGGTTGAGAAGTTCCTCTTGTCCACTAGATTGCATGTTGGCGGGCCTTTGTGGAATGGACAGCTTTCCATAAGGCAGTGGCAGCCATTGAAGCACGTTGGGAATGTCTGGGTGCCTGGGTTCAGTGGCTTCAGCAGAAATCCTGTCCTGCAGGGCACAGCAGCCTCGGCCCTTTTCCTTGGGTCCCTTCACAATATGGTGGCTTTGTCAGTTTGCACAGAATATCTTCTGAGGGTTTTCAAAACAAGTTCTATTATTTTGGCGTGTGCATGTGGAGGGGCACTTGTACTTTGTTCTAACCCCTATCCTTCCCTTCCAACCCTCAGCAAAAGATGATGCCACGTTGTCAGGAAGACGAATGCAGTCGCTCTCCCTGAACAAGTGAGTGTGACTGTGGGAGGAGACGCCAGAGAACTGGGCCGTGCTGCCAGGACCTCTGCTGTGTCTCCCCCACCCTGTGCCCTGGCGCCGCTGCAGCAGTCCCTCGTGGCCAGGAGCCCCCCACAGCCTGGGGCATCCTCTTCATCTTGGCGCAGAAATTGTTTGGGGAAATGTGGGAGGGCTGGGGGAGGGCAGCTGCTATCTTTGAGACAGAAAGATGCAGGAGAGCATTTCATATGTAACCATTTGAACGTTTCCGCTGTTTTTAGAATTCAGAACCCATGTTGGGGGGTTGCCTGGGAGGCGGGGTAAGAAGAGCTTCCATTTGTCTGGTAGATTGCACGTTTGGGGGTGGTTGTGCCGGGAGACAGCTGCTGACAAGTTCGCTACAACCAGCCCTGGTCTGTGTTGCCTGGGTGCTCATTCAGAGGGGCTGTCATCTGGGTGCCCATGTCCCTGGGTCCTTGAGGGTCACGGCTTGTCCCTGGCCAGTCCCCTGTGACTGAGGCCTTTCCTCTGCCCTTCCCTGCCTCAGCCCCACCCACCTGGCCAAGGCCCGTTTTTAACCCTATCCGTTGATCATTTCAAGAAACCTCTGTTCACTGTGTAGCACCCAGGCAAAACATGCTCTACAAATTCAACTTGTATATTTGGCAGATTAAACTTGACATTATCGTAATCCTTCTTTGGTAATCCATCCTTTGGCTCCCAGGCCTGAGCCATTTTTACCTTGCAAGGCACTGTACCACCCTCAGGCAGGTGCCCCCAGCAAGGTTCAAGGCCCATACCTAGCTGGTGCAAGGCTTTTATCAGGTGGCACTGAACAGGGTGCAGGGACGGGACCCCAGGGTCATGGCTGGAAGAGACCTCAGACGCCAGAGCCAGCCCTCTTTAGCCATGTGTCATGTTAGACCAGAGCAGACTGAAGCAGCACCGCCAAATGCCTCTCTCCTGGCTCCAGGTGTCCTCTGGTGGTAACAGCCTCAAAGTTTGTGCTGGAGAAAGCAGCTCAATAGTTAGTACCCAGAGCTGGCTGCCTCATTTAATCCTTGCCACCTTGTATGGCAGGGACTGACAGTAGGGAGACTGCGGCTTTGTGCAATCAAGTAGGCTGCCTGTGGTGCTCTGGTGGGGGGAGGGCAGGTTGTTTCACCTTGTGAATGGCAGCATCCTTTGTGCTTGCTTCCAGTAAGTCAGCGGGTCTGTTGACATTATCGGGTACCAGGTGCAGAGGGGGCAGGTTGCCCAAAACTGATTTAGTGGCAGAGACAGAACCCAGCCTGCCTCCCAGCATCTCCTGCCACGCCACGCTAGGCTTGACCACACTGGGGTCCACAGCCCCAGGAGCCCTGGGACGGATCCTACAGCTGCTGGCCTCTGCCGTTTGCCCTGATCTCCTGCAAGCCCTGGCCTGCCAAAACCCCCAACACCAGCTCCTGAGGAGCGGGAACGACCAGAAAGATTTTGCCAGAGCACCTCCCCATCCCCAGAACTCATGCAGGTGGCTGTCCGAGTTCAAGTCTGTAGTCATAAAAACGAGGTGGAGGAAGGTTCGAGAAGGTGGTGGCTGTTATGGGCAAGGTTCTCGGGGTCCTGTTGCTGGCTCTGAAACAGGGCAGGGCAATGAAGTAGGTGTCCTGTGATGTGCTGGAAGCCAGAGCCATGTGAAGAAGCCATTTGCCAAGGTTCCCTCTGTGTGCCCAGGACAACTGTCCTCTTATTCCACCTTGGGGAGAAGCCAGAGGCAAGGCCTTCCTTGGTGAATAGGCCTGGATGTGTGGTTTTGCAGGTCTCACCTGGATACATGGAAGATGCGCCAATGAGTTTCTGTGGGTTAGAAGCATTTTCCTTGCGGCTTGGCCAGAGGTCCTTTCAGCAGATGCCCCAGCATCAGGGCTCAAAAATCAAACCTGAATTTGAATCCTGACACTGCTACTTTCTGCCTGTGGGACACTGTAACTTCTTTCTCTGTTCACTTTTCGTTAAAATGGGTGTAACAAGCCTTCCTTCCCAAGGGAGCAGGGGGTGACTCATATCCGTTAGACTCTGCCATTCACCCAGGTCGCCTGAGCCATCCTGGCTCCCCCCATCCCTCACCTCAGCATCTTACAGGTCCCTAGGGCCTGTGCTGTTTCCAGTCCCCTGCCCGATCTATCTTCCCACACCCTTACAACTGCAGCAGCCTCCTCCTGGGCCTCCAGTCTGGTCTCTAGAAAGCCAAGCTGGCCCTGTCGACATCAATCCTTCAGCTCCTTGGAGGTGCCACACCCTTGCACACAGCCCTTTGTGCTTGTGATTCCTTGCCTGGAGCCTTCCCTCAGTCCCCTCCCCTCCTTTTCCTGGCCTTCCTTGGACAGCGGGTTCTCATCTGCTTTATCCACCAGGCTGCAAGCTTCAAGGCAGCAACTCTACCTTTGACTCTCCCATCAATATCTAGCAGGGCCTTGCACAAGAGAGCTTACTCAGCCGGTGGTCCCAGAAGCCATGTTGATGTTCACCATGGAGCAGGGTCCAGGGTTCTCTTCTTACTGTCTAGGCCTTCTGCCTGCCACTGGAACTTCAGCCACCTTTGGAAGGGCCATGTAATGCCCTTTCCTTCCTATGGGAAGCATATGGCTATGAGCCCGTCCTCTTTAAGCCAATACCCGTGCCCATCTCTGTATGTCTATAAGGTAAAGCCTCAGCCGGGCTCAGTGGCTCAGCCTGTCATCCCGCACCTTGGGAGGCTGAGGTGAGTGGACTGCCTGAGCCCGCGGGTTCGAGGCCCGCCTGGGCAACTTGGCGAGACCTCATCTCTATAATAAATCAAAAAATTAGCCGGGCATGGTAGCGCGCGCCTGTAGTTCCAGCTACTCAGAAGGCTGAGGTGGAAGGATCGCCGGAGCCCAGCAGGTCGAGGCTGTGGTGGCTGGGAGCGGCCACTGCACTCCAGTCTGGGTGACAGAGTGAGGCTCCAACTCAAAAAAAAAAAAGGTAAAGCCTCTGCTGAGACCAAACAAGAGCATGCTTGCTGGTGATGATACTGTAATAGGGGAGAAGCCTGCTGCTCAGGGTCGCAGAGAAGGGGAAAAACACTAACTGGATGCTCCTGAGGCCCATGTTTTCCTGTCTGAGGAAAGCCACAACAGGTATGTGAAGCCTCCCTGCCCATTAGTATAAAGCCTGACAGTCACATCTGCTCCAGGACTGAACCTCACTTTGCAGCTCGCCAACACAGGCTAGAATCACGTTTCTTACAACTGCTGTCTCATTGTGCTTAAATAATCAATGGGGTCTCTTCCCACAGGAGAGGCCATCCTGAGAGACTAGAATAATGGGGGATGAGGCATCTTTCTATTCCATTTTATCCTACAAAGAAAATTTATCACTAGGAAATCTGTGGATGTAATTCATTACCTGGTAAGATAAAGCATAATTATATAAACAGGTAACCCAGAAGCAGGTGGTTAAACAACACACTGAGTAAAATAGGAATAATAAGGTAACTAAAAAATTACGATATAGAAATCAACTGCCTACATAATAACAGATGTAATAAATTCCCATCAAGGTCCAGAACCAGTCTGGAATGTGCAAGCCTCTTGTCCAGGAGTTTGACTTGTGAATGAGTGGCATCTGGTCCTGGCATCTTTGGGAGTGGTAGCCCCAGACTGGACTGCAGGAGGGAAGAAGTTGTTTGGGATAAGGCCCTTGGGCATCAGGATCAATTTTGCTGGCAAGCAGTTGAAATAAACTCTGCCCATGCAAAAATCAAATTTTCCCTGTAGTACCAGCTAGCTACCTAGAGGCTGAGACAGGAAGATTGCTTCAGTCCAGGAGTTTGAGTACAACCAGAGCAACAAAGAGACCCTGACTCAAAGCAATTAAAAAAAAACAACTTTCCTTTACACAGGCAAGCGTGTCCACGATTGCATTTTTATTACCTCCATGTTTTGAAGCAGTTCATGACCAGCATAATGCTTTGGGGGCACTGTTTACAGTAAGTAAAAGCTTTTTTTTTTTTTTTTTTTTTAAAGAAAAAGGCACGTGTTTCTTGAATGGGTAAGAAAAGCTTCCCACCCATCCCCTCCCCTTTTGAGGGAACAGCCCCTTTGGGGACCCGACTGGGGCCCTAGAAACATTCAGCAAAGCGACACTTGGCCTCTCTGACCTCTTCGCCCCACTTCCCCAGCAGCTGGGATGAAGGCAACATATTCCTCACAGGTCATTTGATCTTGAGGTCCTTCAAGGCTGACTCCAAGCTCTGCAGGGAGGAAGAACGGACAAGCTGGATCTCAGCTGTCCTGCAGACACCCCGCCCCAGACCCCTAGATGCCCCATCTCAGCCCTGGCCCTGCAGAGGGCAGGAAACCTGGTCTTGGGGCCAGGTAGACGGGGGTTGAATCCCAGCCCTAAGGCAAGGCCTCTAGGGGACACTGAGTCCCAGCTGTCAAGGGACCGCGCCCTCCCGTCGTCCCCACCCATCGCCTTTCTTGGCAGGGACGAAGGACTGGGGACATCGGGCACAGGGGCTGGGGCGGATCGATCCTGGCGGCTGGATGGGAAGCCAGCGTGGGGCAAGTTTCACCTTCACATCCCAGATGCTCATCCCGCCGTCCATGCCGGTGGTGCAGAACTGCGAGCACTTGGCCTTGCCCCCGCTGAGCACCGAGATCTGACTGCGGGGTGAGAGAGGCCTGTGTATCCCCGCCCGCCTGCCCAGAGCTCCCGACCGCCGCGGGCGCGGGCTCCAGTGAGACAGAAGGGCCGCGACGGGTGCGCCCAGCCGGGGACGACCTGGACGGTGGGCGCAAAGTCTGCTTTGGGGGCGCAGTCCGGGCGAACGGGACGAAGGCCTCGGCAGGCAGTGAGGCCACGCGTGTCCGCGAGGCGCGCAGCGCGGCCGCAGCGCGGCCGGACGGCGCAAAGGCGAGAGGTGGGGCTAGGAGGACGCAGGGGCCGGTGGACGGCGGGGCAAAGGGGTTTCGGCTGAAGAAGCCGTCGGATCTGGCGGCTCCAGAGGGCTGCGCCGGCGGGAGGGCTTGGTCGCAAAGCTCAGCCTCCGACTCGGGTGGCAGCTTTTGGGTGTGGGAGGGTCTCTCCCGTGTTCCACCCTAGACACTTAGAAGGCTG